GCCTAAGGCTTTTTTGTTTTCAAATTTGATTCATTCAATATCCTTGTATGTTTCTGTTTGATTGTTACACTGAAATTTTGGGTGGGTGTTTTCTCTAACATCAGTTGAAACTTGCTGCGGCCAAAGAAAATTTGGGACGAGAAATCTGCGTCTTTGAAACTTCAAGACTTTCTCAATCGTCAAATGAAGTGTCCAACCTTGGTATGAATTCTTAAAATATGTGCATACCCTATTCATTCCTGTTAGATGTAGTAAATCCATGTAACTCATATCTCTGACAGCACTTGTTGCTTTTCCCCTCTTCTAAATTTTGGGCAGACGAATCAGATGACTTCTATGAGTTCACTGCTGAAGATTATCACCGACTTTTGGCAACCAAAAAGGAAGGTAAAATATTTGATACTTGTACATGTCAATCTGAGCAAAGAGAACTGTTAGCCCTGCATCATACTTGTAATTTCTTCCTGCATAGCTTCCTCTGTATATGCGTTTATGAAAGTATGTAGTCATAACTTGCATCTGGTGTTTCATTCCTTCACTTTTAAAATGGGATAATTGGACAGATAAATTCTTAAAGACAAGAAAAATTAGAGAAGCAGAAGAAGCAGCTCGCCGTGCAAGAATAACGAAGGTACATATAGGAACTTTCTTGTTCTTTGTTAGTTGAGTTTTATTTTTAGAGAATCTATTTGAGTTGTGTACGTATAGGTAATGTGTTTACTTATGGTATGCAGGCTGTAGTTAGAGTTCGGTTTCCTGATAATCATACTCTAGAAGTGACATTTCATCCGTCAGAAACAATGCAATGTTTAGTCGACCTTCTCATGAAAGTAGTTGCTCGACCTGATCTACCATTCTATTTATGTATGTAGTTTTAAATACAACCATTCTTGTGGTAAATTGTTTGAAAGACCTCTTTTCATGCCAAAACATATTAGAATATGGTTATGTTGTCACAGATACTGCTCCGCCTAAGAAGCAGCTAAAAGACATGTCCCAGGATTTCTACTCTGCAGGTTTCATTCCTGGTGCAATTGTGTATTTTTCATACGATCTGCCAAAAGGTTAGTTATATTTCGGGAGGACTGGGATTTCTTTCTTTTATTTTCTGAGACCGAGATGGATCAGGAAGATTATCACACATAATTAAATATTTTTTTCTTCTAATGCCAACCTCATTGTTGAGTATCATAAAAAAATATTTCAGGATATTGAAAATTATAGATTTTATATTTGATCCCATACATAAGCCTTGTGAGTAGGCCCTTTATCGACAAGATGCAGATGCTAGGTTTTGTAGCTGCCAGTTACAGATGAAGTGGTTACCTTTTATCTTTTCCTTCCCACCAGCTTCCCTATTATCTTTCGAAATAACGTTTTTGAATTAAATTTGGGATGAGTATAGTGTCATTTTGCATACTGAAATCTAGTCCTGCAATTCTTTTTATGATAATTCAGTTTATATGTTTTGGTTTTGTCATTTTACATAGAATTCTTAATTTTTAAGAGAGCATCTATTTGTGAATGAACTTTGCAATGCAAGTACATGGAATGTCCAGGAAATACATATCAAACTAAAAGAACAAACAACAAAAACGCGATAAGACAAAAGCTTAAAAGAACTAGTGTTTTTATGTAAACTAAAAGAATATATATCTATATATATTATAATTTATCCTTGAATTGCAATAAACTTAAACCAGAATGGTAAAATTGATACACTGTTGTTAAATTTATGTTTGTTTCAATTTAGAATTTTCAGTTTGCGAATGAATGTAAATTCTTGTCTGTACCTTTCTTGGCTGCATAAAAATTGTCTTTGCTTCCATGCTTCTGACAGGTGACAATTCTCCATCCTCAAATGAAATTCCCTTCCTAACAGAAGAGATTATGGCATTGAACGGTTTGGAAATCATGGTGGAGCAGGAAGAACCTGTTCAGACAGAACAGGAACCTGCAGTTCCCAGTCCCAGCCCTTCCCCTGCTACGACTCAGGAGAGCAAGGCTGCCGGAAAGAAACCTGCAAAGCCAAAATGGTTCAAAATGTAATCCGGATCAGTCAGAACATGTGCTTCTCATTCTCCTGCTTAGACCATTTCCTTTTCTTTTTCCTTTGCAATTGAAATGCTTGGTGGTACGTTCATGCTGCTAACCTCTGAAGCCGAGCTTCGATGTGCCAACCTGCAGCAGCAATATGCATTCTTTCAACATGATGGGAAGCTGTAATGAGGTTTTAAGCCAGTCAATGGAGCTTTTTCATATAGAAGCGCTTTTTTTAAGACTGTAAAATGTTTACTCTGTTAAATTGGTGATGTAACTCAAATATCTATATTATGTTTAGAAGACAGATTTCTTTTCTTCACCCTTTTCCTCTTTAGTGTTCTTTCTAAGCTTTCCAGGCTTAATTTACTGGGAAGTAAGCTTTCACTTATACTTTTTTTTTATTTTTTTTAAAAACTGTAGTTTGATGACCTTAATTTGAAGGGAAAAAAGAAAATTATTGTTTAATTTATTTACAAGTTCATACTTATTTTAATTAAAAAATATTTAAACTTAATTTCATGGAATGCAAAATAACTTATTCTAACTTTACATTAAAATTTTATGTGAACTCATATTCTGTAATTTAGTATTAAATTCTAATAAAATAAATATGAATTTATTAATAAATTCTATATTTATTTCAAGCATCTAAGAGAATAATTGCTGTTTAGGCTTTGGATTTATTGGGCCTATGGAAAAGTTGTTCGTACATTGGGTTGGGTTTGGGTCGGGTCGGGTCTCAATTTTAAATTATCTACGGGCCCGCCCGAAATCCATATATGCATTTATGTGGCCCAATTACCCTAACCTATTTAAAATAATTTTATATAATTCACACATAATTAAACTCGTACAAATTACAATATAAATTAATTGGTATAATATTTTTATTTTTATTATTCTCAGCTAAAATTGGTATTTCCACATTAATTTTGGTTTAAACGTATTTTATTTTCAATAATTTTTTGTATTTTAGTTATCAATTCGAATAGTTTATATATAATTTACTTAAATTTAAAATATTATTTTTATTCAAAATTAATATTATATTGTTATTTTTTAAAAAAAGACTTGATGTTATTGTAACATAATTTATTATTACATAATTAATATTTTAGTTCCAAAATTAAATAAAAATAACATTGAAAGTCAAATTAATAAATGCCTTGAATCATAATATTCCATTTTATTTTGACTTTCCGCTCAAGAGCAATGTACGTACACCCATACCTGAAGAGCTCATTCATTGAATACATAATATACAGTTTCATCTTCCACCCATAAATATTTATTTATTATTTTCATTGCTGTTAATTTAATTAGCTAATTAAATTGATTTTTTTAAAAAATATTTAAATATAACATAATTGTTATATTTTCTACCATAAAATTTAAAGAAATTAAATGTTTAAAATTAAAAAAAAAACATAATATATTAAATTGTAAAGAAAAAAAATATTATAACAAATATAAAATTTTAAAAACTAAATTGATAATATGAATTTATTAATTTATATAATTTCAATATTTTTGGTACATTTTTTCTTTAATTTTAATTTAAAAATATTATGTAAATTATTTTGGGTTTGGTGCCACATTATTTGAGTAAAAGCATTTT